TATAAGATGTATAAGGAGATTATCAATTATATTATCGATAATTTTGTTTTTTATTCTTCTTTATGATTAAGATGAAGAGATTGAATTTTTCTTAGGTCTTTTCTGTGATCTTATTAAAATTCTATTCTACAACGATCTCTTATTATCGTGTGTGTGCATGCGTGCGTGCGTGCGTGCGTGCGCGCGCGCGCGCGTGTGTATGTGTGTGTGTGTGTGTGTGTGTGTGTGTGTGTGTTTTAGTTTAATATTTCCAACTTAATAAATTTTTCTAAGGATACTTTATTCGACTTAAACGCTTGATGTAAAACTCGAAGTAGAATCTACAAACACAAAAATTTCTGTTTCAACTTATCTTGATAATTTAAGATTAATTAGTTTCTAAAATAATTTCATTCTGTGAAGCTTCTCGGAGATGTTTTTTTTAGCAAGAATTACATAATTTTTTTCCGGTACAAGACAAATCGATCTTGATTGTTAATTTTAAAATGAAAATTATAACGAATTTCACTAATTAATAAAAGTTAAAACTGCAGCAATCAGCGTTTATTCAATTAATTATTCATTTTTAATTAATTTAGTTTATTATATATGTCGTACGATACATTCAATTCTCGCTTTTCACATTGAGTTAAATCGAATTTAACAAAAGAGTAGCGGCGTATGCGCGCCATTTTCATTCTTATATTGTACTCTACTTAGTAACTTTATCGATTAACCTGTAGAAAGTACGTGTGTGTGTATAGCGTGTACTACACGCATTATTAATTTCTGAAACATCATGTTGTGGGTATCTAACGAAACAATATGAGCCACCTTAATGTTTCATACATGAGATAACTATACATTATTTTTATTTTTCGCATACGTTTCATTATTTTATTTAAGTATATTAATTTTTTGTCATTATATTTGTTGCATTTCTGATATACTTTAGACAAAAACACTTTAGGAAAAAAACCTTCGATGCGTGAAAGAACACTTTTTATATATATAAAAAAACCTCTCATTTAAAAACAAGGTATTTTAAAATTGGAAAAGATTAATAAAAGTAATATGATTAGTTCAAAGACAAGTTTATTGTATATGTTAAATACGTGACACTAATTCCTTGTAACAAATTTCAATATTTGATCGATTAGGAGAATTTAGACAAGAAAAAAAACGTTCTTTTATAATTGTAATAATATAACGTTAACATAATAATTGTAATCCATAAGAGAGAGATACAGTAAAATGTATCTTCATAATATGGAACTAAAATGTTTCAACGGATTTGACGGTTTTGGCATGTAACTTTCTCTTTATGTATATATATATATATATGTATATATTTTTTCCCTAAAATTATTAATCTTGCAAATATCGCATTAGTTTCAATTTAAGATTTTAGAGTTTGAATCGCAATTTCAAATTGTAAAATCTTTGATGTGAAATTTATTTAATTTCGTGGATTTTATAAAATCCCTCTATACGCGAATCTGGAATATATCAGATCGAGGTGTCGATACGTTGGAATAAAAACGGTTACGTAAATAATTAATTCCGAACATTTGTTACCTAAAACACACACACACACACACACACACACACACACACACACAAATCACACACATACAAACCACACACATACAAATAATACTATGTCAAGTACATGTATTGATTTCTCACGTATGCGCGAATCTCTAATCTTTAATATAGTAATGTATGTAATGCGAACCGAGCGAAACGTTGCTGTATGGCTGATTTAATATCAAAACTTCCACAATATCGTCTGCGAGATCACATATTGTATGGAGTGTTGTTCATTTATCAATACATGTATCTAT